CAATGGTTGCACTCCGTCTATCACATCTGCGTGTTGGCTGGCACCTGCCTACTGTTGCCGGGTAGGGGCCTACGGACCCAATATGAAGGAAAAGGGCCGTCAATAAATGGAAGCACAATCTCGCGTTCGCGCTCAATTCGTACAACTGGACGTGAGTTTGGGCAGGTGCAGTCAATACATGCAAAGCCATAGTTTATTTTCGCAGGATAGGCATTTTAGCTATAGACATAAGGTAATTGGGAGCACTGAAGTGGCTTACAAGAGAGGTAACTTGCCAGACACGAGAATTTTGAATCACCTGTCCCAATTTGTTGCCACCCATAGACTGTATAAAGGTCACATGTGGATTAGGGGTCATGTGACCACATTTGAAGAGTATTGTCTGGACATCACATCTCAATGCAGTCGTGCTGTGAAGAGAAGATTGCAAGCAATAGATGTGTCAGTGGCAGCGGCAGAGGAAATCGTGTGAATGCAGGTGCTGTGGATGGAAAAACCACAAAACTTCGGGACTCCATTCATAAGCAGTGTACCACTGAAAAGAAGAACGTTAGCCGTATTGTTACCTCTCCAAAGTCATCGGGATCCATGGCCGCGACGAAACGGACCTCCATTGTCATCACTCCTATTTCTACGCCCGAGTTTTTCCGCAGCATTAGCGGTCAAGTGGGACTGTCCGGCATGAACCCCACAACCAGTGGTGCTCCAAAGGCTCTACCGAAGAGACCACTACCGTTGTCACATCCAATATCACCGCTATACCCGCAACCTCGCCTACGCGCAAGCACACAAGCACATAAAGTTTCTAAGAACTCGTTGGCATGCAGCGTCCTGCACCCTCGCCCCCAGACGATTTTAAGAAATAACAAGAAGGTCGACTCATCCTCCACCCATGTTAAGGTCAATCTAGGGAAATCCCACATTACTATTAATACCCGTCAACCAAGGCGTGCAACAACTGCTAACGTAACATCCACAAGCCACAAGTTCACCCACAGCTCCCCACAGTTGGATGTACCTCCTGAGAGAATAACCGCTCCATGGTCGCCCTCCTTGCCAGACGCCACTATCAACAACAAGACACTTGGCGGTCATTGCAATGCATTCCGTTCAGAGTGCCGCGCACTTCCAAAGACGCAAAATCAACGAGTGACCACCTTACCTGTTAAAAGAAAGGCAAAACTGACACCACGAAGAACAATGAAGCAAACTCATACACTCCAAGGTCTCCACCATGACGAAGAACAGGACTATCCACTCTTGACGTATATTTGCAAGCAATTAGAGCAGCCTGAACACATGCCTCTAGCTTCGTGGCAGGGACCTAGAGGGTGATAGGTAAATAAGCTAACATCCGGTGATCGGTACACTGCTGCCAACTGTGACACCACTGTCCCATTCCTAAGCACAGATGATGGAATGGGCAACACAATTGAGGGAGACTTCGTCGATTGTGGACAGCTACCAGCTCCTTGCAACTGTCGTATCCAAGAAAAGAGGCCTCACTTCTTCTCCTTGTTACTCAACAGGTGCAGAGATCGAGGAAGTCGCCATCAAGACCTAATTTATGTAAATGCCGTTCTAAATTGTACACCATTAAGATCCGAGAGAGGCAACTGAATTAGCCA